ACACAGCTTTGTTCTGGTGCTGAGAAGCTGCAGGCACTGGTGGGCTTTGCCCACTAATGGCCATGTCTGCGGAGAAGACACGCCGGCTGCCGGCCTTTCCCGGGATCAGGCTGGAGGGCACTTCCCCAAAACAGTTAATGTGTGTGCACCAAGCACTTCCTGAGCAGTTGCTGAGTACAGGAGATCAGTTATGCAAGCTGTTTCTTCAGTTTTAATCTGATTTCCTCCCTCTGCCCTTAATAAATCTTATTTTTATTAGATCTTTTGAGTCCTAAGCAGCTTGGGAATTTCACACAGATTTTCCAGGAAAAGAAAGCCCTCTAAAAGGAGGCATGAAAAAAAAAAAATATAGAAGGGGACTCTGGAGATATTCAGGCAGCATTTCTCAGCTGAAAGAGCACAGGACACAGGTCCTTTTCTTCAGAAAGTAATTTTGAGGGCAAAGGGCTGCTGGAAATAGCTATTGTTGATTCTGGCTGAGAACTTTCAGGGATATGAGGTATCCCTGTTTGTCAGCAACACTGGGGTGAGTTAAAGAGGGATTGCTGATGAGATGGGAGACTGCAGGTTAAGGAGTTCCTTGGTGGATCTGCGTGTCTGTTTGCTGCTGCCCTGAAGCAGGTTTCGCCATTTGTTAGGGGTGATTCCCTTCATGCTGCCTTCAGAAGGGTTCATCCCCAGTCACCTGGCTGTTTAATTCCCCATCACCTGCATGTTTGCACCAGATTTTACACCAGCTCCAAATCTCATCCCAGCTGAACTTACACCAGACCTCGGCAAAGCTCTACCTAAGGAAAGGCTGGAAGTTTTTTACTTGAAGTGAGAGATTAGAGCCCATAGTCCACTGCAGGTGGTGAACAAGCAACACAGGGTTTGCCAAAAAATGGCATCCCCCAGGGTCAGCACAAGGGCACCTTGGACAGCTGGGAAGAGGCAGCAGTTTCTAACTTCTGCTGATTTCCTATGGTATATTTGAACTCTACTTTGGGAAAGGAGTCGGTCTGGCACAGCACTTCAGAAAGGTTACTGAACCCTGATCTACCAGGAATACTATTTCACTTATTCTTGGAAGCTTTAGCTACTCCAAGACACTGGAATTGGGATGGTGGAAAGGATATGGGGGTTTTGATGTGGGATTTTTTTTTACCTGCTACTTTCCACTCAGTTATTTGCTGAGAGCAAGTAATTAAAGCATGGAATTAGCATGTGTCAGGCTCTCAGTTGGTATCAGTAGATTTTACTCCTGGTTGTAAAATGTTTTTTTTTTTTAAGACTAAATGATATGGAATCACAGAATCACAGAAGGGCCTAGGTCGGAAGGGACCTTAATGATCATCTCATTCCACCCCCTGCCATGGGCAGGGACACCTTCCACTAGCCCAGGATGCTCCAAGCCCCGTCCAACCTGGCCTTGGACACTTCCTATGCTTCAATCTTGTATTAATATACAGCTTGTACATCACAGTGCTGAAAATCCCAGAAAACCCCAAATCCATGGCATTACAAGTGACTCAAGGAACGGGTTAACTGGTCATGAGGATCACTGGGTGTTTCTCAGCCACTGAAGCTGGGATAAGCCCTGACTCAAGAAGATGTAGCTGAGATGTTGAGCAGAGATCTTTGGCTCAGTATACAGGCCTTAAGCAGTCAATCAACTCTCTACCATTACGGTCTGGTGTGGCCTTTAATACTGTCTTAGATCTTTTATCTGTGATTTCTCTGTTTCTGTTATGTCCCAGTTCCCTTCACATTGGACATCATTTCTTCCTTTACATCCTGGGCCCTCAAAAAGCAAACAGAGTTGGGCTCTAGCTGACCAAATGCTCCAAGCTCCAGCTTCTCCCATGGTGTATTACTAAGCTACACACTAGTCACAGTTCTGAAATGATCTGCAAAGGTTACCACAATAACTGCAGGATGCCATCTTATTTATTTTGCTCTTGGCTTTTAAAGTTCCCTATCTGAAAGTACATCAAGTCTCTGTGGAGCTCTAACATCAATGCCACATTCTATGAAGCAAGGAAAATGTAATATTTTTACAGTCGGTCTTTAAATCGTTTTCTGACAACAAATCAATCTTACAAGAAGCCTTGTTGGTGTTATGAGTAAGAGAAGGAGAGATTTTGAGATTAAAGTAGAATAACAGTTTGCTGTCTCCACAAATTTATCCTTTCGTGTATCAAACCATTGCATTCTGCTGCTGAGTTCTAATTAAGCCCCACCAATCAGATTTATGATAGTGCTAATAGGGAAAAGGATCGTATAATGCTGTTAATATGTGCTCTATAATTAACATTAATGGCAGTCGTGTGGTTAAATGCCCCTCGCATCACCCTGAGAACAGACCTGTAGGAGCAGGTTTATAACCAGGGGAAGCACCACACATACTGAGGCACTGCCCACCTTGGCAGTCAGCAAAAAGTTGGAGATGCTTCGGGAATCGTTCTGCCCCACAACGGTGACCTCGTGGCAGGGGATGAGTTGTCCTGCCATCCTGCAACCCTCCACGTGGTCCTGTGACCTCGGCACCTGGGCTTTTATGAGCTCGAGGGTGGGAGCTGAGCAGGGGAGGTGCTGGGAGCTCCCCTTCTGGGATCTGTAATCCCTGGTGCTTCCCAAAGCATTTGGCGGTGCCTGCTCCTGTGGATCCAGCACTGTGCAGAGCAGAACCTTCAGTGACGAGATCCACAGCCCCTGGAGTCCTTTCAGGCTGAAATACAACTCTGACATTTGGACACTTGTGTCCACTAAAAATCCTAAGATTACTTTTTTTTCTCTCTAGGAGCAGTTCTAGTGGTTAAACCCAAACGGGTAGGTGACATTCTGTGCTCCCTAAATCATCATTCCTGTTTCACGAGGAGGTATTGCTCCGTCTCGAGGCCCACGGATAACATTCTCCTTAATTACAAAAGTAGTGTTATACCCCCTCTCCCCAGGGGTGCAATTTATTGCCCCAGTGAAAGGCAATGAAAATCATTAAACCTTAAATCTCAGCCCTGACACAGAACACTCAACTACCTCAACCTTTTCCTCTCTGACCCAAACTGCCCTAAAACCAACCAGCCATTCCAGCCCTCTATGCAAGCATTGTATGTGTTTGCTGCGTGATGCTTGGTTTATTTTTGCAGGTGTAAATTTGAGGGCAAATCTGGGGAAGTTACAAAAAGTGGAGACACAAACAGGAACTGTGAAGTGATATATGCTCAGTGGAGAGGACTCCGAGTAAAACAGGATATTAACTGTAAGAAATGTGAAGTCCTAATTCCTCCCCAGCTCCCCAAATAGAAGGAGAGTGGAAATAAATGCTTCAAAGTAGGATATTCTTGGTGAATTAGAGTGAGTGTTTTCATTTTATCTTCCTAATAATGATTTAAGATGACTTTTGCATGAATTTAAGCACTATAAAGAAATGAAAGCCTGGGAGGGAGATGGTTCTGAGGAAGATTTCCATGATAAAATATTGAGAATGAATTTCAAAAGCATTTAAGTGACTTATAGCCTACATCTCCTGAACTTAAACTCTTAAGAGAAAACATTTTAAAGATGCCTGGGGGTGCAATTATGCTTTACAGCTGGAGCACTCCTAACCATTCCCTTCCCTTTTTGTTCAGACTCCAGTCCAAGGACCTTCCTCTGTGCCCTGCTCCACCTTTCAACCTGTCAGCCCCTGTGCAGGGCAAGTACAAACAGTTTAACCACCAAAATTAGCAATTTGTCCTCTACAGATCAGCAATTTGAGTCGGTTTAGCACAGGATCCAGGTACCACCAGAACGTGTACGAGGGCAGGATGAGGTGACAGCTGGGTCAGCTCTTCAGCACAACCCCCAGCAATGTGTATTTTCAACCAATAAGTATAGAAATCAAACTTTCATTTCCCAAAATTACTTTAGGAACTAAATACAGATTTTATTTGAATTTTTTTTTTTAAACTAAGCCTTTGGCTCTTTAAAGCTCGGATCCTTTTGGGAATGAGACTCTATAGAATGAATTTAGTTTTTCTTAGTCCTCTCTTGGCCATTTTACAAGCATTTCTCAGCATCCCCAGGCACTTCTGGTCTCTCTCTCGCTGTGTCATGGACACCACATCCTGCGGTGTGGTGACACCACGTCCTGCCTGCAGCATCCCTGGGATGAGGCCAGGGATGCAGCAGAGGGAACTGTCTCAGTGCCTGGCAGAGGCTCTGAGGATGCTCCAAGCAGGGCTCCAGGCATTTCCTCATTGCAAAGGTGTCTGAGGTCTCCTGTCTGGACTCAGTTCCCATCTGAATACTGTCACCTGTCCCTGTACCCCAAATCCAACCCACCAGTGTCACTGATGGGTTCACTGGGTGGGAAGCTGCTGCTCTGGGACTTGCTCTGCAGGACCAACCTCACCCACATCACCCCCCAAGAACTGTTGTTCTTTGCCATAACAATTTGTTATAATAAAAGTCCCGAATTTAGTTTATTTTTGGTAACTTTTTGTTTCACATTGTCTACATTTTCATTGTTTTTTTCCTCCATGGAAAAGCTGTGCTGACCCCAGAGAGTGTAGAACGCTCATTTACAGTTTCATCTCAGAGTTGATGAGACATCTCACGTTTTGGGCTTGGCACAGCTGGTTTTGTTTGCATATCCATAATTTTCTTCTTCATTATGCTCAAAGCTGCGTCCAGTTCTGGGCAAGAAAGACAAGGAGATGCTGGAGAGGGTCCAGCGGAGGCCAGAGAGATGAAGAGGGGTCTGGAGAATTTTTGATGGGGAGAGAATGAAGGAGCTGGGCTTGGTTAATCTGGAGAAGATGGAGAGAGGATCCCATCAATCCATACAAAGGGTGTCCGGGGGCCCGGGGAGGGGCACGGGCACGGCGGCCCCGAGACGGGGCCGGAACGGGGCTGGGACGGGGCCGGGCCGGTCCCGGCCCGGCCCCGTCCCAGCCCCGGCCCGGCCCCGGAATGGCCGCTCCGCCTCCTCCCCCGCCGACCCGGAAAACGTCTGGAGGTCATGCTGGAAGATGGCAGCGCCCAGGAGCTGAGGGAGCCGGCGGAGCAGCCGCGGCCATGAGCGCCGCCCGCCCGCCCCGGGCGCTCGCAGGTACCGCGGCCATGGGGGAGAGGGGGGCGGCGGGGCTGGGGGACACACCGGGGACACCGCGGGGCTGCTCTGGAGAGCGGGACCCGGAGCCGGCGTGTGCCTGTGTGTGTCCTTCTGCGTGGGGATACGGGTTTGTGCCCTGTATGGGGCATCCACGTGTGTCCTTCTGTATGGGGATACCTGTGTGTGCCCTGTATGGGGCATCCACGTGTGTTCTTCTGTATGGGGATACCTGTGTGTGCCCTGTATGGGGCATCCACGTGTGTTCTTCTGTATGGGGATATCTGTGTGTGTCCTTCTGTAATAGGGGATACCTGTGTACGTCCTTCTGTATGAGTACACTTGTCTGTGTCCTGTATGGATGACTCTGTGTGTGTCCTTTTGTATACAGGATCCTTGTGTGTGTCCCTCTGTATAGACGATCCCTGTATGTATTCCTTTGTATAGGGGAGCCTTGTGTACCCTTCTGTATAGGGGATCCTTGTATATGTCCTGTATGGAGATCCCTGTGTGTGCCCTTCTGTATGGGGGTCCCTGTGTATCCCTCTATATGGGGGCTGCCTGTGTGTGTCCTTCTGTAGGGGGGTCCTTGTGTGTGTCCTGTACAGGGGTCCCTTGTGTGTATCCCTCTGAATGGGAGATCCCTCTGTGAGTCCTTTTGTATGGGGGATCCCTGTATGTGTCCTTCTGCATGGGGATACTTGCCTGTGTGCTTTATATACCATATAGAGGTCCCTTGTGTGTGTCCCTTTGTATGGGAGATCCCTCTGCGTGTTCTTCTGTATGGAGGATCCCTGAGTGTGTCCTGTATGGGGGGTCCCTGTGTGTATCCCTCTATATGGGAGATCCCTGTGTGTGTCCTTCAATATAGGGATCCTTGTATATGTCCTGTATAGGAATCCCTTGTGTGTGTCCCTATGGATGGGGGATCCTTGTGTATGTCCTTCTCTATGGGGAATCTCTGTGTATATGGGGGGATCCCTGCATGGGGGATCTCTGTGTATGTCACTATGTATGGAGGATCCCCGAGTGCCACACTGGACTCTGTCCTCTACGTGCTGCCCCATGGCAACTGCTTCCTCTCAGTGCTGCTTGGCCAAGAGAATTTCGTCAGTAATATATGGAGATAGTGGAAAAATGCTGTTGTTCTACAATGGTACAGCCCCAAGGCTGACAGAGCTCAAGCAGTGTTGGGACAACGCTCTCAGGCACATGGTGGGATTCTTGGGGACATCCTGTGCAGGGCCAGGAGCTGGGCTCTGTGATCCTTGTGGGTCCTTTCTAATTCTGCATATTCTGTGGCTCAGTGAAAATGCATCTCAGGGAGCTGAGAAATTTGGAAGAAAGCACAAAAAAAACATTAGGGCATGCTTACAGTTCTGTTCTGGGCCCACTGTGAGAAGAAGGACATTGAGAGCTGGGGTGGGTTCAGAGAAGGGAATGGAGCTGGGGAAGGGGCTGCAGCAGGAGGAGCAGCTGAGGGAGCTGGTGGGGGCTCAGCCTGGAGAAAAGGAGGCTCAAGGGGGACCTTCTGGCCCTCTCCAACTTCCTGACAAGAGGGGGGAGCCAGGTGGGGGTCAGGCTCTGCTCCCAGGTACAGGATGAGAGGAAACAGCCTGAAGTTGTGCCAGGGGAGGTTTACATTGGATATTAGGGAGGATGACTTAATCCTCCTGGATGGCACAGGCTGCCCAGGGCAGCTGTGGAATCACCATCCCTGGAAGAGTTCCAAAAACTTGTGGATGTGGTGCTTAGGGATGTGGATTCGTGGTGGTTTGATGATGATCTCAGAAGTCTTTTCCCTCCTTAGTGATTCCGTCATTCTCCACTTTCAAGTCTTTCCCCTGGAGCAGCAAACGTTTCTCCCCACCTGACCCGCCCTGAGTCCCATTTGTTGGGGTGTCCCGTGCCACAGCTGAGAGCAGACACTGAATTAAGAGCAGACTCGGTGGCAGAGAATAAACTGGAATCTAATGCTGTCTTTTTTTCTTTCCTCCTTTAAATAGGATTGTTTGTGTGGCGTCTGAAGGGCGCTGGCACACGGCACAACCCGTGCCACTTCGTGCACCTCTGCCGGGCAACCAACCACAGGTTGATCACATTTCAGTACTTTAACTTTCTAAAACGAATGGTAAGTCGGGGAGTGGATTTATCCCGTGTTTCTCATTCATCCCAGGTCAAAATGGAGATTAGTTGATGAAAGTGATATTTTTGTTACCAACCCAACTCAGGTAATTCCAAGCGTCTCCTTTTTTCACTGAATCGGAGTTAAAGCGCTTGGTATCTAAAACATTTGAGGCTGGACAGTTCCTTGTGCTGCAGAGTCTCCTCTCCTTGATGGGAATCTTCCTGTGCCTTTGCAACAGGACGCTTATCTCCTGCTGAAAAACTTGAAACTCAACTATTTTTAAATTGTTATTTATAGAAATGCTAATAGGAAAGTCACACCTTGGCCAGCAGGCGTAGGAGTGGTGGATGGAACTCACTAGTGGAGGAGGTGTGTTGTGAGTTAATCAGCTAATTTGAGTCAAAACTCCTGAGCTCGTTAAGGTAATGGGTTTCATTTACAGCGTGCTGTTAGTTTTAGGTATTAAAAAAGCTGTAATTATCATTCAAACCTTTGAAATTGCATCTTCTTCTTTGACCAGTTGTATCATGTTTAAGTGGATGGTAGTAAAAGGCTTATTTTCCTCTTCCCTGAGTTGTGTTCTCTTTGTTGCACTTTGGAGCTTCACCTATGAAGTATGGGTAAGACTTAAGTCTTACAGTGACTGCTTTGCCTGTAAGGAGCATGTCCAGCTATGAATCAAGAGATGGGGATCTTTCCAGGCTTCTGGGGTTACCATCACTTCTCAGATTCTTACTTGTGCTGTGGATTTGATCTGTATTCACCTCACTCATTCAGAGTTTCATATCCCTCTTACTCGTTACAGTTATTGATGTGCACTTTAAGCCAGGATTAGTCAAAAGCTCTGTCTTGTTATGCCTCTTGTGCTTGAAATATATAGAATATTTTGGGGAACAAAATAGAAAGGAGAGGCTAAATGGTCTTTTTCTTATTCTGTGTCTATTCTGAGACCTTTAAATGAGAGGAAACAACTGTCTCCTAACTTTCTGTTCAAAGTATGTTCGTTTGAACTCCTGTTGAAATTTGCAGTCTAGTTAATTAACATAAAGCTTGGCATAAATAGTAATAGAGTAACGTGGGAGATGATTTTATATCGTGGGAGGTAGATCGTATTTTCTGGCATTTTTCTGATTTTTTTTTTCTGTCTACTAAAGATGCAAAAATCAAGTGCTTATATGGTTATGGGCACTTGTGTATCTCCCTATTTAAAGGTGAATTTTGTTTGATCAGAGGTTGGATTTGATGATCTTGGAGGTCTTTTCCAACCTTAGTGATTCTGTGAATTGATCAGTTGTAAATCAAATGATATTACCTGGTGGTTTTGAATATGAACAAAGTAAAATTTGCTGCTGAAGCTGTTAGGAGGAGGTAAATTTATCCAGAAGCAATTCTCCAAGTAGAAGTAAATAACATTAATGCAGTTGTGAGTTAAAAAGTTGCTCTTGTAATATCTTGACCAGAAGCTTTTTGCATCTGAAATAAGTGTTTGAAATTCAGGCTCACTCAGGTTTGTCATCCTAGGAAGTAATTCTCCTGACAATGAGAATATTACAGCAATAATATTGGCGGTGTTAACAGTGTGAAATGGATGGAAATATCTTCTCACCTGTTCATTTGAACATCTCTCCCTGTGTTTAGTATGTAACTCAGTGCAACAAAGACCTCAGCCAACGAGCCAAACCCAGGTCTGATCCGGTGGTGCCTCCTTTTCACGAGCTGCAGCAGCTGGATCAGGAGAAAAAGGTTATCCACAAGATTAGCCCAGTTTCACCTGCTCATCAGCCTTGGCCTGAGACATCAGGGCGGAATGAGCTGAGAGAAGTGAAATCACCTGCAGAAAGTGAAGCCTCAGGCACAGCAGCAAGAGCAGAGCCCAGGGAAGACAGACAATGGAAGGAAATGAAGCTGCGGCTGGACGAGTTGCCAGGAATTTTGGCACGCCTGTCCAAAATCAAGCTCACAGGTATCACTGTTCTTCTTTTATCACTTCTGGGCATCCTGTGTGATAGCAGAGTTCTTCAGGATGTTACTGGTACAGGGTGGCTTTTTGTGTGATAATTCCCACTTCCCTGATACAAAAGACTTGGGCTAATTCCATCGAATGTGTGCTGGGAAAATTGTTTTACGGAACCATCTGATAGCTTTCCCATTAAATTTGTGTAAAAATAATGAGGAGGAGGTTGCATCCTGTGTGAGCTAGCTTTTGGGAGTCATAAACAAGCAGGTATTGGTACAAAAACTACAGTGAAACTGGGTTAAGAAGTGAGTTTACAAATATTGTATTCAGTGTTTAAAGTTGTCTTGCTTAAGTTTACCAATATTCCATCTTATTTACATACCTTTCACTTGAGTACTCCTTGTTGTGAAATGAGTATTAAAAGTCCCAACAAAAAATAGTCCAAATAGTTTCCTGTATTATAAAGAAAAATGCTTGAGTCTGACCAAGTAAATTTTATAAAATAAGATTTAATTTAGTTTTCAATCAGTAGTAGTGTTGTCTCTTCCAACCAGCAGTTTTGTTAAGAAGTTGTTTTGCAGCCTGAACCACATTTTGCCTTGTTCTGGTAGTAATGTTTAACAACTATAAATTACTCCTTTGCCAATAGGTAGTGCTATATGTACTTTTATTGCTGAGGAAACTCTGATGATCTGATCATCTTGTCTACATCAATTGAAGAATGTAAATGTAATTTCCTAAGTCTCTGCCTTGGTGATCTTTCCAGTGGGTAGAATAAAATCCTGATAACAAGACTGTTCTCTGCCATAACAATTTGTTACAGTAAAAGTCCTGAATTCAGTTCACTTTTCAAAACTTTCTGTCTTGCAATATATGAGTTTTCATTGTTTGTTTCTCCATGGAAAAATTGTGCTGACCACATGGAGTGTATAATGGTGGTTTACATTTTCATCTCAGTGTTGATGAGACATCTCACATTTTGGACTTGGCACAACTGATCTTGTTTGTACATCTCGATTTTCTTCCTCATTGTTTTTTAGGAAACCTCAGGGCATTTATTTTGTGCTGGTAAAGAGTTTGATGAGATGAAAGCATGTCTTTGATAATTTAGCATGTCACTTTTATATATTAGCCCTGGTAAATTCATATTTAGGTGTATAAAGCTCTGACTAGCACAATCAGCAGTTATCAGGGTTGTTTGCAACAGCTTTGTGGCACTTCCAGCCTCAATTATTGCCTCATCTTTCTTTCTACATTATACAGGTCTTGCCTTTTTCTCCCCCACACCGCTCAGTTTTAGTAATACTTTGTTTCTGTAGGGCTCACCTGTAAGTGCTGTATGAACAATTAGCTCTTCTGGCATATTTTCAGCGAGGTGATTTTGTTTGAGTGGTTCTTATGTGAACTTGAAGGCTGTGCCAGCTATTGAGGGAGAACTAAATTAAAAATTCTCACTAGATCCAGAAATGAAAAGTTAAAATGCCATGATTAAGGGACCAGAGAGAGAGAAAATGAACTGCTCTTTTAAGCACTTGATGTGTTTGTACTTATGTTTGCTGACATTCCTGACAGGAAAGCTCAGTGTAATGTTGCTGCTGCTCCTCAAAACAGGAGTTTCAACAACTGCAGCAAGATGCCAGAATGTATTTACTGGGAGAAAGTAATTTCATGTGATACTTTTTCCTGTGGCCTCAGTGTTGCTGCAAAACTCTTCAGCAGTTTCCAGCAGGCTCTTTTAAATGCAAAAAGCAATTTCGACAGGCAAGCACCCACTCTGGATTTAAAATAGGCTGTAGAAGGCAGAGGTTAATGAGTTTCATTCCCTTCAGGACTGTTGTTTTGAGATGTAAACTTAACTACTAATTTCTGAACAGCTGTAGAATTTTTAATCTGACTTCGAAGTCTAGAAGAGGCTGTGCCTTTAGCCTGTCTCTGCTGTCACTGGAAGAGTTCTTGAGCCAAGGTAAGCGTGGTAAACTTTGTACCTGTGGAGCAGGTATAGAGACATACAGAAAAAAAACTCAAGCTCTCTTCTCATTTTGATCCCTGTAGATTTTGTGTGGAGACTTTTTTGGATGTGGAAAATGTGAAAGAATAAATTGAATGAAGAGTGTTCTGTAGGAGGGGAGGTCCTTTGTTGGTCTTTATTGATAATAGGGAGAGGGGCTGGAATAATACTGGGTGTAGTGTAGCAAGGAAACAGGATTAGCTTTTCTTCCAAAATGGAGCAAATTATATATTCTGTAAAGAATATGGTGGTGTAGTTCTTTGATTTTACTTTTTTTTTTTTTTAAGAATAAATTCTCTGAGGTCAGTTTTTTAAGTTACAAATGACACACAACTGAGTTCCTTTCACCCATGAAGTTCTGATAGATCTCATATCCTGTGTGGTTTTTTTGGCAGGCTCTTTATTTATACTTTTTAGAGTATGAAATAACAAAAAAACAAACTCTGCATTATGCTAAAATGGGACTTCCTTGTGCCCTGTTCTTTTCCCGCTGCTGAAGGAGAGGGGTTGTTTGTTTGTGTTCTGAACTGTACTTCACCTTTGAAAGGAAATGAGTTTAGCTATTTCCATACCCTCCTGCTTCATGTAAACTGCAGCTCATGTGGCTCTGCCATTAGAAGCTCTGCCTTAAAAACAGGAGTAGATTTTTGTTTATGTTCTTTTGCCATAGAAAACAATTAGGGAACTTTTAATTACTTGTCGCATAATCTGCCTTCTTGTGTTCGGTTTCCATCCATTCCCATCTCTGTGGTGTGCTGTGCTGGCTGCTCTCTCAGCAGCTGCATCCTGCCATCCAGGCACTTGGAAAGCTAGTGCATCTGTCTGATAGGTTTTTATAATTATAAATGTCATTGTTGTCAGCTTGATCCTGAAGTTTATGTGTTGTGTAACCTAAAATAGGAGAGGGACACAAGGTGTGGGAATAGGAGGAAATTCTAGTGATTTATAATGCACACACGTGAAGAATTTCAGGTTGTCTCATCTTCTTTAACTTCGAGTTTAGATTGAAGTAACGTTTCCTGCAGGAATTACAGATAAAAACTCAGATGAGCTGCATGCAAAAAACATGGGAAAATCCAAGGTCAGTTTTTAATTTGGGGGAATTGTGCATGGTATGAAAAACGCTGAGTGTTTCCTGAGATATTCCTCTGTTGTTTGTGAACATTTCCTTGTTCTTGCTCCTGTGGAAGGTTGGTCTTTTGGAGAGGACAGCCAGATTGGCACAGGTTGCCCAGAGAAGCTGTGGCTGCCCCATCCCTGGAAGTGTCCAAGGCCAGGTTGGACGGGGCTTGGAGCAACCTGGGCTGGTGGAAGGTGTCCCTGCCCATGGCAGGAGGTGGAACTGGATGGGCTTTAGGGCCCCTTCCAACCCCAACCATTCCATGTTTCTGTGATGTACAGCACCTTCTGTGTTTAAGGAAAGACTGGACATGGCAGTCAGTGCTCTGCTCTGGTTAACAAGGGTTGTTCAGTCTAAGCTTGGACTTGGTGGTCTCAGAGGTCTTTTCCAACCTAACTGAATCTGTGATTCTGTGATTGTGTAGCCCCTGTCTGAGAAGTGGATCAGCATGGGTGGACAAATATGATAATTTATGAGCATCTTCAGTTTTGGAGACTGAACTAGAGCATTTTTTTTTCACGTGTCTTCTTATAAGAAAATAACCCCGTTTCTTGTATTAGAAAAGAGCTGGAATTTATTGGCTGTATTGCTACTGTCTGGATTTGTGTCTTTGCAATGGTGATGCTTTAACACAAAAGTGCTGAACTGGAAATCAGAAGCCTGAGATATCTGGTAGTGTTTTAAGATGTGGCTGTGCACATCCTGCTTCATCTCTTGTCTGTTGTGTGTTGGTGACACAGTGATGGAGATCCAGCTTTGCATAGTGGGTTTCCAGTATGTTCCTACTTTATTCTGGAATGATAGGATTTATTATGGCATTTATTCTTTAAATGGTAACTTCAGTATAACCAGAAACTTTGACAAAGATTTATCAGTAGATATTGTTCTGACTATAACTAGTGCACGTTTATTCTCAGTTCTAAATATATTTCATAAACTTATCAAAATAGTTCTCTTTTTGTGATTAATATGCCAGCAACTATTATCCCATCAAAGAAACAAAAGCTGAGTAGTGGAAGCTCGCTGGCAATTTATTTTCCACGCTACAAGAAAAACTAATGAAATAAAAATAACCGTTATTACAGTTTATTTTTAGCAGATCAATTTAAAATTGTTGGATGGATGTTTGTAGTACTGCACTTGAATTTTATCTGATATCATGCAAAGGTTGTGTGCAGGTTATAATGTGCACATCAAAGCTTTGATATGCCCTAACAAACCTGAGTTTATAAAGGACATGTTGGTCAGGTGTGTGGCTCTAATACTGGTGCTACACTTGGCTTTCCAGGAGCCAAAGTGTGAAAACTCTGGAAGGAAAATTCCATCAGCGTTTGGAGAGCTGCTTTCCTTCAAGGACTGTATAAACCCTTGCAGTGAAGGAGTGAAATTGTTTCTTAAATTAAAGCAGAAATGCGTTTGCTTTTGTTCCTTCCATGTGTGCTGATATATCACCAATACAGGAGTAGAAGGGAACTCTAAAGCAGAATTGATTTGCTTTGGCTTTCTTTGGTTTTATTTTGGCTTGGCTGCTTTTTAATAGGAGGCAAGCAAAATATGGCAAAGTGATTCACATGCTATAAATACAAATACAGGGATTTATAAAGGCAGGTCACATTGTGATGGAGTGGAAAAGGAATGTAAAGAACACACTAGGCTTTTTGACTGTATTTTTATGCTAGAAACACTATAATTCACTCTTTGTCACCAGTCCATTAGCATTTTCTTTTTCATTTACATTGAAACGGGAGACAAATGTCCCCTGTTCATTTTTGTTAAAGCTAAAAATGTTTAAAAGACTGAAAATTAGGTTTAGGCTGAGATCATAAGTTTAAGTCTTGGCTTCTTTTTGAAGAGTGAATATAATGCCAACTCTCATCAAGCCTTGGAAGGATCGATTCCATCTATTATGCAATAAGGTGAAGTTAATTTGGCCCCTAAAGCACTAAACTAACAGGGATTAAAAAACAAACAGAGTCAATGACCTCATTCCCTTGATGTGATCTCAATTAAATATACTTTTCCTCCAACGAGGGAAGTTGAAGAGTAAATTATTGCTTCCACAGTTAAAGAAAATAAACTTCCCAATCCAAAGGGAGCATTTTCCTGTTTACTGCTGATGTGTTGCATTGGAATATTTGGGTAGTGAGGGAAGCAGGGAATGCCTGGTGTGCAAACCCTGCCCAGACAACAGAAAATACCTGCTTTAAAATGGGATAGGGGAGAGGATGTACTGCAACCTTTCTAAATGAGCTCCTGATAAGTCAAACTGAAGTGACTGGCTGAAATTAATCTGGAGAAATCAATGGGGACTTTAATTAGTGCTGTAGCTGTACAGTATTCGAATTTCTTTGGGGTCAGGGTAGTGCTAATGTTACACTGACTGTTTGCCAATCTGCTCCACCTTTCTTCTCCAGTAAATGAGCTGGTGTTTTCCCATAATAAATTGGTGTAAAGTGCTCTCTAAGATAAGTTTTAATTAAATTCTTGTCTGGAAATGAGTGTGTGATTTATTATGCAAAAAAATGAATGTAATCACTCTCAGAAATGCGAACGCCACCGTTCACTGTCATTTTCTGTGCGTTTTTTAACTCTTCAGTTGGACCCAGTGCATTTCATGTTTTCCTGTGCACTCTACCGAGAAGTTTGGGAGCTAAGATGGTGTGGTATTTATATAATAAATGGGTCCAGCCTTTCAGAACAATCAGTACCTTCATGTCTGTGCGTCTGGTGGGGCAGCAGAATCTGTGGTTATTTCAGGGCTGCTCAGAGGGTAAAGCTCTGTCACAGATCCACTGCATTTTAGAAGAAACCTGTGACGCCATAACAAGGCTAAATAATAAATGCTTATCGTAATATTAGGTATATTCTTATAATAATATTCAATCACCAGTGGATTTTAATGCTTAGAGAAAAGTTTTGATGAGCAGCAAGTTTTCTTCACCGTGTTTTTTGGTATTAAATCCTCAGGTTCTTATGCAGGCACAGCTCTTAAAATGAGCACTTTGCATCCTTGCTGACAGGTCGCTGCCATGACATTTAGTTTTTCATCTCAAGTAACACTGCTTAATAGATAATCCAGGTATTTTCAGTCAGCAGAGGTTATTTATTTGTATTTAGCTTCAGACAAATGGTAGACTTTGCAGGACTCAGGAAGATAAGAACATTTTGGTGCTTTGATTTGAGCTGACTGAGTTCTGGAACATGTAATTACATGCGGAATATAATTTAAATACTTTCTGTTTAATAGCTGTTAATTTCAGATTGTAAGGTTCAAGGTCACGAGGAAGATATTCCATAAGTGTGCTGACTTTTATAGTATAAGAAATTTGCCATGTCATATTATTTCTTGCCAAAAGTGATGTTCGTGAGACCTATTATTTGGCAAATTACAATATTAGGATTGAGAGTTAGGTAACTTTCATTTTAAGGGATGTGATTTGCAGTAGTGTACAAAAGTTATAATTTTGGATGACAACACTGAAATGGATTTTCATGAATGCACTCAAATTTGGAGGCCTATAAATGCTGTCGGGTCCTTGAGATGATGTGATTGTGCCTTCAGCCCAAAATGGGCAAGTCAAGTGGGAGCAGAGATTGTGCAGTGAAATTACTGGCTACATGCTCTGAGTCTCTTCTTAGCTCTGCACTGCTTAAATTCCTGCTCTAATTTGATATAAAACATCTATCTCATTTGGGGATTTTTCTTACTGTTTTTCTTCCCCGTTAGACGTTGCAGTGACACGTGAGTTCCTGGAACATGGACATGTTGAGTGGGGCACTTTGGTCCTGGGGCAAATCCATAAAATAGGGAATGCAGAGACATAAACGAGGCTTGTCTGACACTTGTCTTTTCGGTTGCCTTCACCTTTCCCTGTTTCAGCTGATGCTTTGCAAAGGTTAAGGACTCATCCCAGAGCTTTCCATCCCACAGGTGTTGCTGTTTAAGTTCTTTTCTACCTCTTTTTTTCTACCTTCTGTTTACCTACCAAACCTCAGATTGGAGAACATTCTTTTGTTGTTTGAAAAAATTGATAAATAACTAAGATTGAGACTGAAAATAATTCATAATTTGGAGGGCAATCAACTGGCAGGAGCTCAGGTGTTGAACAGTGTATTTTCTGGTGGGTTCCCCGGTGAGATTGATAGCCCAGCCAGCAAAGCTCAACCTGCTCAGACTGAAGAACTTAATTTCATCAGGATAACACATCCCATGGAATTTTTACTCAGAATATTCTGTGGCTTTTTATTTTCACCTCTTCTACTAATATACTGATCTTTCTGTGGTTTTTGTTTCATCCCTGACAGTTCTTCTGATTTTTGACTTCTCCATGTAGAATATTATTATTAATTGTACTCAGTTCCTGGAGCTACTGTGATCCATAAAAGTAGCAAAAGCTTAACCTGCACATGGGTTCTTAGAGTCTGAAAGCCTTAATTACAGTGTTGTGCACAAAGGAGGTGGTTTCTGGTGGATGCTCTGACCTGTGCCCTCCCTGTGTTGCAGCTCTGGTCGTCAGCACCGCGTCCGCCGGCTTTGCCATGGCCCCGGTCCCTTTTGACCTGCCCTGTTTCCTGCTGGCCTCCCTTGGAACTGGCCTGGCGTCCTGTGCTGCCAACTCCATCAACCAGGTCAGTCCATCCTCATCTGAACAGCAAACTGGTGTCATCCTGGCTCCTGAAAGGCTGCCAGGGAGCGTGACTGGGTGGCTGGGAGTGCTGTGCCTTCAGCTGCCGTGTGAGCTCTGGGCTGCTAAAACTGACACCACGGAAGGAGTGTGTGCCTGGGAATTCGACTGGAGTTGCTAGGCACAGTGTTGTTTATACAGAATGGAGTTGATGAGGTTTTAAGCCTCCCAATAATAATGTTTATCTTGGTAATACCAAGCCTGGATCCCTGAAAATGGCAGAGGAAGAACTGGGTAATTGGAGCGTAAGAATAGCCAGCGGGGGCTCCAGCCTCACGGGCCTGGTTCTTTGGATGAGTTATTGCATGACCTTGTTGGATCTGTGTAAAAAAAGTGGCTCAGAGCACCTCTCTAAAATGTCAGTAGTGGGAATTTGGTGGGGTTTTGTCCAGGGTATCTCCTACACATCTGCAGAATGCACTGAAAATCTCCACTGTGTGGAGGTTGTTCCATGACGATGTTCCGGTGCCTGAACTTCCCTGCGTGTGCCAACATGCCTGTGGAGCTTGATCTGATCTCAGCTCTCCTCCACTCCAGCTGGGAAGCAAAGCTGCTGCTGGGCTCTTCCTACACCCCAAAGGGAAGCTCAAGCAATGAACAGGTAACAACACTTGTGATGAATAAAGTGTAGTAGCCGCAGTCACTCTCAGTTGTAAATATGACCAGGAAAAAGAAGGAGCAGCAGCGCTGCCACCTTTGATGGGACTTCATGTTTTCACTTGTGAGTCCTGGGACCCCAATAATGGAGGTTTCCTGGTCGACTCACCTTGGTTTATTTGGGCTCTGATGTTTACACCTTGGGAACACCTCAGTTGAAGGCACTCAGTGTGATTTTTGGGCTTGCACCCATCAGCACACATCTTGCTCAGCCTGAAATAAGTCCTGTTTATTGTTTTTACAGGTTTTACTGTTTGTTTTCACTGAGCTTAAAACTGGGGCAGGCAGCTAACTTGGTGTCTGTTTTCTCTGCAAAATTGGAAGGATGCTGCGTGGTTTTTACTTGCTTGGAAATGTTTATGTAGCTTGCCTAACTTGAAAACACCTAGGTAACCTTAAAAAATAATTTTAAGTAAGTCACACTATTTTCTGAGGAATACATTTGGTTATCATTACATATTTTTCACACAAGGGCTGGGTAGAAAAGCTGTCATAACTAAGGGGAAGCTTTGCTGGCTTTTGATACAATTTTAGAGGTGCACTTTTTACCTCCCTTTTTTGCTTTACTGCCTTTTTGATATTAAAAAATGCATTTGTGAGTTATCCTTTGAAATATATACTGTCATACTTACTTTCACCTTTGATGTGGATACTACTGGACTAAGAGAATCAATTATTGCTTATTTAGAGTTTCCTGTGCAACTTGCCTTGAGATTTTGATAGGTTTTCCTAGAGGTGACATTGGCAAACAAATAACTGGTTTTCTTTGTTTCGGTATCCATGTGTTGCCCGGTATATTTTGTCCCAAAAGCAGCAATTTTTTAAGCTCTTGGAAGCCACTTTTTAAAATACTCAATTACTTGGGAGGACCAGGAATCCTGTGGTGTAATTTGCAGTCGGACACTTCTGAGCCTTGTTGGGATAAGAGGGGGAAGTCAGGAGTGCAGTGACTTTGTGCTTGGGCTCGTAATTCACTGTTTATTCACTGCAAGTTTCTCCAGCCTCACAAAGTGTCTTTCTCAATCTCAGCTGAACACTTTAAATTTGCACATTTGCTCACGTTGAGCCACTTGGCCCGTGTAGAGAGACCTCCAAGGCAACTACTCCACGTAAAGAAAATAAAGGAGCAGAGTTGGTAACGAGGCAAAGGGAAAGAGCCCTGCTCTATGACCTTGTTTATCAATGGATCCTTTCAGTGGCTGAGTGTCCCTTTCCCGGTGTTGCTGCGTCTGAACCGGCTGGGAATTTAATTTTCCATAAATACTTTAAGCTTGGGTATCCGTCTCGACCTTTGGGAAGGAGCACATTTGACTTGGAACTTCCTTTATTGCTACTTTGCTCTGTCCATTGCTCCCCATACGCATCCACTTCTCTGGCAGCTCATGACTCATGTTTCCCTCGGTGCTCCTTGCGATCCCTTAAGGACCTTTTTATATGATAACCGTCTTCCCACTTCCCATATTGCCATAAATCTGTACATCTTTAAGGGCAGCTCATCTTTCCCACTCCTCGTTTTCCCTGATAAATCTGCATGCACGATTTACAGTCCCCAAATATGTCGTGGGAAGGTGAAGTGTCGACTGTGTAAGATTCTTGCCCGTGATTTAGGACAGGATGTGAGGAGCCTGGCCCTGCGAAAATGTAATAAGGATTCTATAACACTCGTGGAAGTATTGATACAGACTTTTGACTGTTCAAATTCTGTGATTTGGGGTTTTTTTTATCCTTTTTAACTTCTCTCGACCAGTTGATTTTAGCAATGTGGTGGGAGCTGAGAGGGTTTTACCCCCAGTGAATTAAGCTGAATTAACTATTTAAGTTGACTTAACTAATAGGAGTGAGCCAGACCTGTGCACACAGACCAAAACATTGGGGGTTTTTTTTGTCTTTTATAAAGTTTATCTGAAATAATCTTCTAATTATCACTTTCTCCTTGATTTCAGATGGGTGTATGTCATACTTTAAACCTGTTTTTTCCTAATTACAAGAGCCAGAAAGTTACAAAAATGTGCCCAAGTGGAGATTCTTACCCCACTTTCACTGTCTTTAACAAGAAAGCAATAAAAAAAGCCTGATGTAAACTGACAACTTTGTATTTTTTAATTGTTTATAGAAGTACAGTCTGGATATTTATCTGCCACAGTTGTGTGTTTACAAACAAGTTTCACAGCCCACAGATTCTAAATTCTAAATGTGCAAATAGAAAGAGCGTATTTTGATGTCGATTCTGTGAAACTGGATAATGATTTTTAAGAAGCTGGTGGCTTACTGTTTTGTGACTCGAGGGTGAAAAAGTTGTGTTGGAAAACGCCCCGGGAAAATACGGACAAAAAAAGGTACAGAGGGGGAAACGTGGTGCCTGTTCCACAGCAAGGTCCTCCTGGAAACATTTGTGTAGGAAAATGTCAGGAGATGAATCTTGGAATAATTTATGTCAGACGGTAGTTTGAGAGGAGCAGACTCTCCCAGGCCGGAGGAAAATGCTGTGAATTCCGGGGCTGTGGATAAATATCGGCGGGTCCCCGGGTTTTCCTGTTGGGGTCTGTGGGCTGCGAGGGAGGAAACTCCCGCGGGAAGGTGCCGGGGAGCAGAAAGTGTTTTGTTTGCCCTGTCCTCCAGCAGCAGTTGTGCCTCTGCCTCACCCCTGGCTATCACAATCCTTCAGGGCTGTACCTCGCACCTCATCCAGCATCGCCGCGGCTCCCACAGCCGCCGCTCCCCGCTTCTCTTCCACATCACCCGACACCGCGTTATGTCCTCCGGCCCTTCGGAATTGTACTACAACATGTCACCACTTCTCAGCCCCACCTGCTAAAACTGCTTGCCTCTTTCTTTCTTTTTTTTTTTTTTTTTTTAATTTTTTTTTCTTTTCATCCCTCTTTTTCTAACGGCGTTCTTTCTTCTTTTCCATCCTCGAAGTAACTTTAAAATTGTTCCGGACAGGTGTTTTTTTACTGGTGTTCTGCCTTTTGAAAATAACCAATGTTAATTAAATAAATTTAAAAATGAAATTTAAAAATAAATTTTAAAAATAAAACCACTTAAATAATAACCAATTATTTCAAGTGGGGGTTAATTAAAAAAAAAAAGAAAACAGACACTTAATGCACTTAACCAAGGAAGAGGTTGAGACACATTTTGTCTGTACCGTTCTTAAGCTAGCCAAAACCTCCAGAAAATCTCATTAGAAGGGATCAGCCTTATTAATTGCAGTTGTGGTAAGGAAATGGAAATATGTTCTGGGGTTTCATCTGCATGATTATCTTGAATAGAACAAATAGTTATTCCTAGTATATCACTTTTATGCTGTCTATATTCCTGACTCTTGTAGGGTTGTGTGTTGTTCCTTACAACTTACAAAACAGAATAAGCAAAACCTCTGTTTTCTGATTGGGGAAGAACCACTTTTGCAACTTATTTTTTCCCATAATCCAGGCTGTCATAGAAATGGAGCAGGAGAAAATTATATTAAGTTAGTTGATAATCTTTTAGTTTCTCGTAGCTCTGGTTTTTGATGATTTTTGAGAGCTGACTCAAGTTTCAAGGAGTGGAGCCTTACATTTATATTAGGGAGAAAACATGTCATTTTTGAGACTTCTAAGATAGTCGGCTCTGATTTATGGAGAAGGAGATAAAACATGAAGAGATGTTTACAACACAATACACGGCATTAAAATGTTAAAGGAATCACATGCACGTTTTATATGTCAAGTACATTCTTCTGTAACTGCAGCACAGTTAAAAAGTGGGAGAGAGCTCCAAAGATGAAAGCAGGATGTTTAAAATGGTTTGAGTTTAGTAACCGAGAGATAAAATGATGTGCTTGGGTTTGACTGATGGTACCTTGAGAAGGAAGCAGGCTGGGCTGAATGGCTTAGCTGAAGTTAGAGAGTTGAAAATGAGGAGTACAGTAAATATGTGAACCAGCATGAGAGAACAAATGTAAGTTAACGTCCCTGTCCCTTCGGGGTCTGAGCTGATGGCTGCGTTTTGCTCTTGATGTCGTCCTGTCTTGACAGGGGTGATCCCTTAGAAATGTGGCTGTAATGGCTGGGAGAGACGGGTTTGGTGTTAAAATAATGGAGTGAAACTCAGGGTCTGAGTTCATTTGCCAGCCCATGGACCCTGTGTGTGATCCTTAATATTAAGACAAACTGTGAAGGTCGTTTGGATGCTGCAGTGATGAGCACCGGGCTGAACGAAGTCAAAACAGAGCAGCCTTCCTTCCAGTTTCTAATCCACTCACTGGATTATCCTCACTGAAAAAAATTTCTTCCTTATATCTTG